ACGAGGGAGCCTGACTTAAGAAAGCAAGCCGGGGAGGGCCAGACTTAAGAAAAAAAGCTTTCCGCCGCCGGAAGACGGCTGTGGCTCGTGCTTGAAAACTATGTTATTATTCTGGCAAGCAGTGCCTACCCCTTCTTCTGGAACTTCTACCGTATAATCGTATAATTGGTGTAGTCTTGCTACTTTGTTTTGGTTTACACATACGGTGCCTGTCTGCGTTCCATGTTATGTTTTACACGATGAATGTAGGCTTCATGCCATTGCCATCTGATTTGCTGGTTTGAATGTCGCCAAAACGAATAAATTGCAGCTTTACGATCCTTTGCTGGCAAGTTCAACATCCGACCAAGACCTTAGACCTGTACACGCGCTGCAGCCAAGGCTGGATGTGTCTGGCATGAACAGTGTCGCCCATTCCCTTTCCCGAGCAGGTGCGACGATTTGCATGCTGAACCGAGACGAACAGAGAATTGATCCTGCCGACGAACCAAAGCCGACATTAGACCATAACACAAACCGTAGAACCGTGGCCCTTGCTTCAGCTCATGATGTTGGTCTCAAGATCTTCGGGCCTTGATGCGTGCTCTCAAAGGATGTAAGTCTTGCCCTGCTGAACAGTTCGCACTACCCTATATGCGAAAGCCCAAACTTCCAGCCCCATCTTCAGTTTAAAAAGCTTAGAAGCTTGGGGACATAAGCCTGAGACGGAAGCCTTCTGCTAGCGTAGCCGTGGAACAGGAGGTTTAGAGCACCGGAAGCCCAAGTCTTGGTGTGAGGTGCGGAGGGAGCCTGCCAGATCCTCAGGGGATTCCACAAAGATATTAATCCAACACAGCCGCCTTCGCTGTGACATGCACATGGCTCGATGTTCACATCGTATGCTCACTACTTCTTGTGATGATTCTAGAACGACAAGTACGACTATCAGGAACGTTCGCATCTATAATATATAACACCACGTGTCTCACTAGGAATCCACGAGGCTGGCAGCTGTCAGTGTCCATGCTGTCGCAGATGCGGCCAAGGCGGGTCAGCCCACAGATGCCTGAAACGTCAAGTGTAACTGTTCTTTTTTTAGGGTTCCTTTGCGCCCTGAAGCTCAATCTGGGGAAAGCGGGGATTGGATGTCGCATCGAACGCCGAGCTCAAAGATGGTCGGACCCTCCTCTGAGACACCCTGGGCTTGGTTAGGGACTCTGGGATTCTAGGTATCTTATCATTTGCGGCTTGGAGGGGTCCACTTGAGCGCCTTTCAGCCTTCTGAGACGAAGGCTCATGCACTTCCGAAGTACCTTGCGGAGGAAACATAAGGCTGAGCGAAGAATTCAAAATTTAGGACAATTTAGGAGTGAGAGGCTTCGCCCTGGAGGGCTGCATCTGCCATTCCTTGTCGGCTGTCGGAAAGTCGGAGAGGTCCCAAACCCAGACCTCCCATACACCACACCCCGAACTTACAACCCCAACTCACTCTGCACAGCCTCCAGACAGCAAGATAAGCAGCGTAGGATTAGCCGGCTAAACTAACACAAGCAGAGTCCAAGCGAGAGTCACGACAGTCCTGGTCGACAGTCTTGATTGCTGACCGGTCGTGACCACAATCTGGTAGTCAGAAAGGTCGCAGAATTGTGGAACATTGTAGGGATGTCGCGAGGGTCGTGATCCCAGGTGCTCCACGCAAAGGCCGCAACATGCCGAGAGCCGAAAGCCCTAAAGCGTGATGCAAAACCCCCAACCCGAAACCTTAAATTCCTACATCTGATAAACTTCAAACCCTGAACCCCAAGAAGGTCCCTCCGTCCCAGCGTGGCCTCGTTGACTACGAGCCTGGACATTTGTTGTGCCTCCAACCTCTGGGAGCCAGCGTAGGGGCCTCGACCGGACCTTAGTGTTTAGGGGTTTGGTCATTTAGCGTTAAGGGATGTTAAGGGATTAAGTTTAGTGTTGTCAGTTTGGAATTTGGAGGTTGCGATTCTTTGCTGGGTTTAGGCACGGCACAAGTTTCCGCAGTTTAGGCTTGAGAAGCGCTGGGACGACGGGAACGGAGGTGTTTTGCGCAAGGGTGCAACTGACGCCATTTTTGGTTAAGTGTTGGCTCTTGGCTGCAGCGTGTGTAGCCGAAGTCATGTGGCAAGGCTAAAGCAGGTCCGCTCAATGGCTCAAAGCCCTTGAACATGAGGGAGAGGAGAAGCCACAGGAAATTCTCGAGTGGAAGTGGTACTCGTATTATTTTGCAACCCAGTTTGTATGAATGCAGTCGAATAGAGCAAACTAAACTAAACTCCACGACCCTGTCGTGATTTACTTGGCCTCAATCTCGTTCTAAGTGGAAGGCTTATGCTGATGCCGGCTTTGCAAGCGGAAGGCCCGTCCTGCGTTCAGAGATTGCGGTTCAGTTCAGGCCAGGCTACCGGGAATCTGACGGTCCTTGTTGGCCCCAGGAGCTTATGAAATCAAGTTGTGGACGCTCACACCGTGCACGCGAGGGTTCGGGTGTTGGGTTGGATGAGGTGGAGGAAAGAACTGTTGGGTAATTCTGCGAAGGTAGGGCAGGTAGGTAGGTGGTATGTGGACGCCAGCAGAGCTGCAAGGGCATTTACAGAGCTGCGCATGCTGCTGCCATGTGATGATCGAAGGAATCAGGAACAGTTCCCTCCGCCGACTCCCCCCCTCATCACACTTCGAGGGCTCGTTTCTCTCCTGGCCCCAAATGGGGTAGCGGTCGTCGTCCTCATGCTAGAGTGCACTTTTCGTGGTCTAGTAGTGCTTGTCATCATCGTCGTCGTCGTCACATCAGGTCTGCGTGGCAGTTGTAGTGGTAGTGATCGTGGCAGCGTGGTGTGCTGTTGGGTTTGGGGATTTGGGGCTTAAGCGCTTGAGTTTGCACGATTTGTGTCTCAAATGTTGGAGACTGGAAGAGGGGTCAGCCTCGTCGCCGACTGCTTCGGGTTTACTTTGAGCTACCACAACCACTACTGTACTGTACTTTTTGCAGGGCCCCTACATATATTGGAGCTTACAGTGCGACTGCGACAGACAAACAATAGGGCATGGTCGCTTGAGGTAAGGTTTAGGTCGGGGAGAGGCCTACGCATCGATGTGGTAGCTGGCAATGTCGTCCTGGGCGGCAGTCCCAGTCAGTGTTGCTTATACGGTTACTGAGGTGTAGGGTCTCGTGTGGGTTGTTGCAGGCTCTCGGTTGCTGGCAGTTGTCAGCTATGACTTTAAGCTGTCTAGATAACACGGCATGCGCTTGTTGGCATCCGAAAGGGAAGATGATGCCACTGCATCATGTTGCGGTACAGAAATATCATGGACAAATTCAGGATTGAATCATACTCACCAGCGCGTCTGTAACTCAAGCCGAAACAGAAGTTCTATAAGTTGTCACCCTGGACACGAAACCTTATCGTTGAAGCATTCTAAATCCCGTTCTTTCGGAGTACTATTGCAGACCCAAGTCAGGCCGGGTGTGAGTCCAGCGCAGCATGAGTTCCAAGGCACGGCCTACCTTTCTCCAAGATTCGAGAATCTTTTCCCAAGCCCCCATGTGGCTCCAGGTCAGCTCGAGCCCGCTAAAGAGCTTTCGGCTCCCCAAATACGAAAGCCTAAGCCCCAAATCCGAAACGCTCAACCCCCAAGCGCGCTCTGGAGACTCCTGGAATGACCTGTGGCAGCTTCAAGATGCAGATCGCCACACTGCTCTTGGGTCCAAGGCGCTGGATAACGCGCAGCCCATGGATGTCGAAGATGGTGGCGTCCTTACCGCATCTTGGGCCATGCAAGCTTCCAGCAAAGCGATGTGGACCATGCTATCATCATCGACGATGGCGGGAACTGCGCGCGTCTCATGACAAGTCGCGGCGAGACTTTCTATCCGTCGGCTCGCATCCCCTGCCTCTTGCCAGTGGTCATTAGCACTACTTCGAGGTCCAGTTGAGCTTGAGGCACGTTGAGGCCTTTCGCCAGATCAATTTGTGCATGGGCACTTGCCGTGAGCTGCCTCTGTGGGATACCCCGGGAAACCACAAGGAGGACACTTACCACGCAGGCATTCGACATCGTCCGGGACCTCGATTTAGGAATATATTTTCAATTATGCCTTCTTACAGTGTAAGGGATATTTCTTACAAGTAAGTGACGGACGTTAGGGTCTCTGGGTAATGCTGGAGTTCGGACTGCGGCGCTTAGCCCCAAAGTCGCCCCAACAAGGAGTGTGGAAACAACGCAGCAGAGGCTACAGGCTGTGAGGGTTGGTGGTTCAGGATTTAGCCTGCGGCGGGTGTTTTCCGGAGCTGGTACATGTTCCGCGGCCTCGGCTGTGAGATTTGCACTTGCTCCTGCTGCAGCTGCTGCTGCTGATACCGCTACTGCTACTAGAAGCTCCGACAGAGCTGTCGGCCTGCTTGCCCGCATCCTTCCTCGCAGTGCTCCGAGTCGTTCAACCTTGATAGAGCTCGGTAGCTTGGGGATGTGGCAGTGCGCCTTACAGAAAGGCATCAGCTGTCGAAGTTGAACTCCAAGCCCCTGAAAGGGTACAGGCGCGCGAAATTCAACAAAAAAGCCAAAAGGAACGCCCTCCGAGGTGCGCTATCTCTTGCTCCAGGAGTCAAACGCTGGTCGCAGGCGTGGAGCGTCAGACTCTGCCCTTCGAATCGGATTTGCCCGATATGCCCCGGCCCCTCTGGAATCCCGAAGTTCGTGAGTTCATGTATGAAGCTATAGCAGACTCTTCCCCCCCTGCAACTGTCCTGTAGTATGCGCTTTATGTGAGACAAAGCACATGGTTTCGGATCGGAATCTACGGTTGCAAGTTCAGCACCAAGTTTGAGAGTGTAAAGTAGTTGATGCACAGAACTATGTTAAACTTTTCTGCGGTCCAAAACTTAAACCCCGAAGCACAACTCTCACCTTGGAATTCATACCCTCACAGACGAAAAGCCTAAAACCCGAATCCCCAGATGTGGGACCTTCGATGTTCTTGTGTCGAGGCACTCTCCGTGATGTACTCCTCGGAGGCTCGGGATGGATATGGTCGTGGGCCCCTCGCCCTTGTTCCTAAAGTCTCAAAGCTCGAGTCCAGCAAGCTGTGAGCCGGCTAGGGATGAAACCAGAGATTTTTGCGTTTGGGCCGCCATGGCAGCAAGCACCAAGCCTGAAGCCGGAGCACGTGCAGGCGATCGGGCTTTGTCCTGACCAGGTTACCTTCTCTGCAGTGCCGGAGCCTGACAGCTTGGAGGGCAAAGGAGGGGCTTCACTCCCGACATCTCCGGACAGCGGGAGATGTAGGTCCTGAAATCCAAAGTCCAACCAGACAGGACAGAGTCAGATTCGCGTTGGTCTTGGTCGCTTGCGGAGATCTTCACCTAGTTTTGATGGGTTGGACTCAGGGGTTGCCGGCCCGAGGCGAAGCTTTGCGATGCGAATCCCCAGCTTCCGTTTCCAGTGGGTTGAGAGGTTACTGTAGGGGCTCGGCTTCAGGGATCAAGGATATGGCCATGGTGTTTGGGGATACATGTTGTCCGTCGTGGGGCGCAGGGACAGGGTGGATACTGAAGGATTTTTTGTGCATCATGGGCCTGAGGCCTGAGGCAGGGTTTCGGGCAAAGCACCGAATGCTCAGGCTCTCGGCTTGCGAGCGCTCCGCGCGCTGGGCCCAGGCGGTGTACCCCCAACATTCAGGGCCTCCGTGTGGCTCAGAAGCTTTTTTATTTTTGGAGTTCAGGCTTTAGGGTTTTGTTTTGATCTGTTCCAGTTTCCGAGATTCGAAGTTACAGGTTTTGATGTTCATTGCGGTCTAGGTTCCAGGCTTTTAGGTTCTTAGGCGAGACCTTGGAGGAAACTCAGGGGACTACTATGACTATGACTACTTACCTTCGTAGTGGTTCTTTCCGAGGTCGAGTGTCGCCATCCACGTGCTGCCGAGTGAAAAGATGGTAGCCAACTTAGGCATGCTTCCTCTTGCATCAGGCATGCTGTGTTCAGATGTCGACGGCATGTCATCCAAACCATCATCTCGAAACCTTGCAAGCAGTCGCATGCGTACTTTGGGTAGATGACCAGGGTGTGTGCACTTGCATCACCAGTTGCCATGTGTGCACGGGGATACTTGAGTTATGAAGCTGTCCAGTAAGTTGCCCACCAAGCCCCCACAAGAAACAGCCCCTTAGGCAACACCCTGAACCCTAAGCCATGAAACCATAAAAGAAAGTTACTGTATTCTGACGCCTTAGACCCTATACCCCAAAGAACCCTAATTTGCTACAGCGGAGACTTTGCGGAAACAGGCCTTCAACAAAAGCAAAACAAAAGCCCATAAAGTTCGATGACTTCCAGCAGGCTTCTGCGCTGCTTCTGCAGCGGATGCTGGGCAGGCAAGCCTACGAGCTTCCATCCTCAAGTTTCTCTGAGAGACCAGGGCTCAAGGTTTAGGTTATGGGTCTTGAGGTTCCGGGACTGCTGCCTGCAGACACAGTGAAATGTACAGAAACTTGGGTGGCAAACTTTAGACGGACCACTTGAAATAGCATGCCCGAAACCTAGACGACTTTTTGCATCCTCAACCTGCCAAGGCCCAGAAAATTGAAAGCGGCAGCCAGGCGATTCGTACCAGATCGCATCGCCTGCAGCGTTGCAGTAAGCGGGGGCCCTGGGCCCTAAAAGACGACCAGGCTTCAGGTCGTAGTCGGGATTGTTCGACGGATTTGAGCCGAGGGCTTCTCTGGTGAACTTCTGAAAAGTGGCTTGTGTGAGTGTTTGAGCGAGGCTTTTCTGCGCGGTATAATTGACTGATTGAATGTTGGGCCTTTGCGTGGTCGTAGATGTCTTTAAAAGCATGGTTGTGAGGATTGGGGACATGTTGTTTTGGGACGTCATATGTCAGGTGGATTTCCCGAGGCCCCCGAAAGGTGCACGGTGCTTGTAACATTGTAGTCATTGTAGTCCAGATGTCGCTTGAGCCCCAGCTACTAGGGAAAAAAGGCTACCCCTGCCTACGCTAAAGCCAGAAGCATACACGCTCTCAGACCGGCAAACCCCGTTCCCGACAGGCCCCACACCCTAACTCGGAAAGAGGTGCCTGTAGCGCAGCTTCGGAGACCGACAAGGCATGCCAGGACAAGCTTCGGCTCAAAGCAAAAGTCATATGAGTGTCGCTTAGCCGTAGGGATTCCTTATGTTAAGGTCAAGTCCAAAACATGCCAAAACCCAACTCGGAGCGATGGGCCTTGGAATGCTTGAGCCATTCAGAGACAGACTCTTCAATCCGACTAAGCTCTTCAACCCCCAATCCCCTGAGCATTGCACGGTTGCATGACATGCTGTTCATCACCGGATGCTTTCTCGGACAGTTTAGTACACTTCAGGGTTTAGCGTTCAGCCTCTTGGTCACCTCCCAGTTGTTTACGACGGAAGCTTCCGAGGTTTAGGAGTGCATGTCGAGGTCTTGGCCACCGGATCCCGAAGCCCTAGTTGAGCGCCAAGTCCCATGACCTGCCTGATCGGTTTTCAGAAAGACTTCGGCACCCAGGCACAAGGAAGCAGCGCAACGACCCTAGCACAAACAGGGAGACACAAAGCTGAACAACAACCGAGAGCGACGGCACACCACCCAAGCATCCCTCTGCTTCGATGCCACTTTGCAGGCGATGTCTCTCTTGAAGGCCGCTGAGAGGTCCTCGGTCGAGGCCACGAGGGAAGCTTGGGCTTTTGGCTCAGGAGCAAAACTGGGTTTAAGCCAAGCCGTAAAAGCCTGAGCACTGATTAGCCGGAACAGATTACAGCGTTGGTAGTGTTGCCCTGTCGAAGACGGCTAGTTGGGCAATTCACATAAGCAGGAGCGTTGTGGTTGTAGTAGAAGACGAGTAGACGTAGAAGCACGTAAGTGGCAGCGGAAGTGCTGGTGCTGGTGCTGGTGCTGCTGCTGCTGCTGCTGCTGCTGCTGCTGCTGCTGCTGCTGCTAAGATCGGAAGAGCACACGTCTGA